TATTGAGAACATTGATTCCAAAATGTACTTACACGGTTTTCAAGAACGAATGTTCTCAATTCAAGAACAATGTTCTTGGATATTTCTCTCTGTGTACGTTTATAAGACTAAAAAGGTTTATTCCCGATCCACAGGACCTGCTGTCGCTGAACCCGCGCGTGAAGACGCAGTGCTCGGTGGTGCCCACCAAGCAGACGAAGGAGAACAAGCGGCACTGGAAGCGGAACAGCGACCATGCCGCTCCGCCGTGCACCACGCTGGCCAACGACTTCTCGGACATCAAGCACACCACGCTGTCGGAGCGCGGCGCCCTGGAGGAGGCGGCCCGGTGCCTGAAGTGCGCCGATGCGCCGTGCCAGAAGTCCTGCCCCACGCAGCTGGACATCAAGAGCTTCATCACGAGCATCGCCAACAAGAACTTCTACGGCGCTGCCAAGGCGATCTTCTCGGACAATCCGCTGGGCCTGACTTGCGGCATGGTCTGCCCCACCAGCGATCTCTGCGTGGGCGGATGCAATCTACAGGCCTCCGAAGCGGGCGGCATCAACATTGGCGGCCTGCAGCAGTTCGCCACCGAGGTGTTCAAGAAGATGGGCGTGCGCCAGAGGCGGTCGCCGCAGGCGGAGGCCAATCCGCTTCTGGAGAAGATCGCCATGGTGGGCGGCGGACCGGCCTCGCTGTCCTGCGCCACCTTCCTGGCCCGCCTGGGCTACCGCAACGTGACCATCTACGAGCGGAGGAGCTACCTGGGCGGCCTGAGTGCCGCCGAGATCCCCCAGTACCGGCTGCCCATCGATGCGGTCAACTTCGAGATCGATCTGGTCAAGAACCTGGGCGTGCGCATCGAGACTGGTCGCTCGCTGAGCACCAGGGATCTGACCATCCAAGGGCTCCTCGCCGACGGCCATGATGCGGTCTTTGTGGGCATTGGCCTGCCGGAGCCCAAGTTGAATCCCATTTTCGCCGGTTTGGAGCCCAGCAATGGCTTCTACACGTCCAAGAACTTCCTCCCCCTGGTGTCCGATGGCTCCAAGCCGGGTCTGTGTGCCTGCAAGGCGGCCGCCGGTCTGCCCAAGCTCCATGGCAATGTCATCGTCCTGGGCGCCGGAGACACGGCCTTCGATTGCGCCACCTCCGCCCTGAGATGCGGTGCCCGTCGCGTCTTCGTCGTCTTCCGCAAGGGATCATCGGGGATCCGTGCGGTGCCCGAGGAGGTGGAGCTGGCCAGGAATGAGCGATGTGAGCTGCTGCCCTACTTGAGTCCCCGCAAGGTGATCGTCAAGGAGGGCCTAATCACTGCCATGGAGTTCTGTCGCACCGAGCAGAACGACAAGGACGAGTGGGTGGAGGATAAGGAGCAGACGCAGCGGCTGAAGGCCAACTTTGTGATCTCCGCCTTTGGATCCGGCTTGGAGGACCAAGATGTCAGGGAGGCTCTTGCTCCCCTGCAATTTCGTGGTGAATTGCCCGTGGTGGACAGGATTACCATGCAGAGCAGCCACAAGCAGGTGTTCCTGGGCGGAGATCTGGCCGGAGTGGCCAACACCACGGTGGAGTCGGTCAACGATGGTAAGGTGGCCGCCTGGAGCATCCACTGCCAGCTGCAGGGCCTCCCGCTGGACACCCCAGCCGCCCTGCCGCTCTTCTACACGGACATCGATGCCGTTGACATATCGGTGGAGATGTGCGGCCTCCGGTTCGAGAACCCCTTCGGCCTGGCCTCCGCTCCGCCCACCACCAGCACGGCCATGATAAGGCGCGCCTTCGAGCAGGGATGGGGCTTCGTGGTCACCAAGACCTTTGGCCTGGACAAGGATCTGGTCACCAACGTGTCGCCGCGCATCGTCCGGGGCACCACATCGGGCTACAAGTACGGTCCGCAGCAGGGATGCTTCCTCAACATCGAGCTCATCTCGGAGAAGCGGGCCGAGTACTGGTTGCGCTCCATTGGCGAGCTCAAGCGGGACTTCCCCGAGAAGATAGTGATTGCCAGCATCATGTGCAGCTTCAACGAGGAGGACTGGACTGAGCTGGCCATCAAGGCGGAGCAATCCGGTGCCGATGCCCTCGAGCTCAACCTATCCTGCCCCCATGGCATGGGTGAGCGCGGAATGGGTCTGGCCTGTGGCCAGGATCCCGAGCTGGTGGAGCAGATCTCGCGCTGGGTGCGACGGGCGGTCAAGCTGCCCTTCTTCATCAAGTTGACGCCCAACATCACGGACATCGCCTCCATTGCCGAGGCGGCACAGAGGGGCGGAGCCGATGGAGGATCGGCCATCAATACGGTCCAGGGACTGATGGGCCTGAAGGCGGATAGCACCGCCTGGCCGGCGATTGGCAAGGAGCAGCGCACCACTTATGGCGGCGTCTCCGGAAACGCCACTCGTCCCATGGCCCTGAAGGCCATCTCCGACATTGCCAGACGGGTGCCCGGATTTCCCATCCTCGGCATCGGCGGCATCGACTCCGGTGAGGTGGCCCTGCAGTTCATCCAGGCGGGCGCCACTGTCCTGCAGATCTGCTCCTCCGTTCAGAACCAGGACTTCACCGTCATCGAGGACTACTGCACGGCGCTGAAGGCCCTGCTCTACCTCAAGGCCAATCCGCCGCCAGTCGACGGACCCTTCTGGGACGGTCAGTCGCCACCGACTCCCGTTCACCAGAAGGGCAAACCGGTGGTCCGTCTCACGGGCGAGGGCAACGCCACGCTTGGATTCTTCGGTCCCTACCAGCGGCAGCGGGACCTTAAGCTGGCCGATCTGCGCCGGCAGCAGGGAGCCCTCTGGGACGCCGAGCAGGTGAAGAGCACTCCGCCGGCGGAGGATGGAGCCCCCAAGCCGGCGCCCAGGATCAAGGACGTCATCGGCGCCGCGTTGGACAAGATCGGGTCGTACAACCAGCTGGACAACAAGCAACAGAAGGTGGCGCTGATCGACGATGTGAGTTGAGAAATTAAGAAACCTTATAATTTAAAGCTAAATCCTTAAACTAACCCTAATATTTTCCAGGACATGTGCATCAACTGCGGCAAGTGCTATATGACGTGCGCCGACTCCGGCTACCAGGCCATCGAATTCGACAAGGACACCCACATTCCGCACGTGAACAACGATTGCACGGGCTGCACTCTCTGCGTATCCGTGTGTCCCATCATCGACTGCATCACGTGGGTTTCTGAGAATCCCCTTAATCGTATTCCATATAATTATTTCCTTTCTTTTTCCAAATTTTCAGCATGGTGCCCAAGAAGATCCCGCATGTGATCAAGAGAGGAGTCGAGGAGAAGACCTTCTACACCCATGCCCTTAGCCAGTGCCAGTAAATTTGCATAGTTTTACGATAAATTGTTATTACATACGATCTATATAATTCAATAAAATACCACACATGCCCAAAAGCAACAAATGTGAATTATCTGTGGGGGTTATTTACGTCGATCAGCATTCAAATCTCAAAATTTCAATTTTTGACCAATTTTCACAAACAAATCATGCATTATAAAAAATGCTTAAATTGGTAAGAAATAAATTTTAAAAGAAGTGATGGGGATCGGTTATTGCTGCTCAAAACAGTCAGTCTACCAGCTGTGCGCTCCACTTTGACCCAGTTACGATTGAAAACCCGTATAAAATAGGATCTTTTTGTCAGAAATCCTACCACCCATTTTTCGATCCAAAAAACCAAGGTATTTTGGCAATCATTTTGCGAAATAAAATGGGAATATGGAATGCCATACTTCGTTGAGCTCGTAATTAAATTCCCAATCGATTGACATTCAAGCCTAGAAACTTTAATTTTTGACCGATTTTCGCAAAAATAGACGATGTACCCCTTATGAAAAATGTGAAATTTAGTCAAAAAATAAATTTCCCGGAATGTGATGCGGACCGGAAGCCTTGGTTGTAAGCTGCTCAAAACAGTCGGTCTCTTAGCTGTGCGCCTCGTTTTGACCAAGTTACGATTGAAAAACCGCAAAAAATAATGGTATTTTGGTCCGAAATTTTTCTACCTATTTTTTGACCCAAACAAACTTGGTTTTTTGGCAATCAATTTGCGAAATAAAGTCGGAATTGGGAATGTCATACCTCGTTGAGCTCGTAATTAAATTTCCAATCGATTGGCATTCAAACCTGGAAACTTTAATTTTTGACCGATTTTCACATAAATAGACGATGTATGAAAAATGTGAAATTTAGTGAAAAAATAGATTTCCCGGAATGTGATGGAGATCGATAGCCTAGGTTGTTAGCTGCTCGAAACAGTCGGTCTCTCAGCTGTGCGCCTTCTTTTGACCAAGTTACGATTGAAAAACCGCAAAAAATAATGGTATTTTGGTCTGAAATTCTTCTACCTATTTTTTGACCCCAACAAACTAGGTTTTTTGACAATCATTTTGCGAAATGAAGTCGGAATATGGAATGTCATACCTCGTTGAGCTTGTAATTAAATTCCCAGTCGATTGGCATTCAAATCCAGAAACTTTAATTTTTGACCGATTTTCGCAAAAATAGACGATGTTACTTACCCCTTATGAAAAATGTGAAATTTAGTCAAAAAATAATTTTCCCGGAATGTGATGCGGATCGGAAGCCTAGGTAGTTAGCTGCTCAAAACAGTCGGTCTTTCAGCTCTGCGCCTCGTTTTGACCAAGTTACGATTGAAAAACCTCAAAAAAATATGGCTATTTTGTCAGAAATTCTACCGCCCATTTTTCGATCCAAAAAACCAAGGTAATTTGGCAATCATTTTGCGAAATAAAGTCGGAATATGGAATGCCATACCTCGTTGAGCTTGTAATTAAATATCCAATCGATATGCGCTCAAACTTGTAAACACTAAATTGTTCCCATTTTTGGTCATTAAGGTATCATTTTGAATTCACAGTATATTTTAGTTTAACTTAATTATAAAATTAACCCTGATATTTAAAACTATGACCAAATTAAATATACGAATTCTCCATCCCTGAGCTTAAGCGATACTATCGCTTCCAATCAGCTGTTGGTCGATACTGAAAAGTTTAGGAAAAACGGAACTGCGTAGAAATTAGGCAGCAGCCGTTTGGATTGTGGCAACCAAAATAAGTTTAGTCAGTTGGACTTGACAAAAGCTGGTAGTAAAAACTCGAACAAAATTCCACGTAAACTTCAAAAGGTGTTCGGCACCCAGGACTATCTTTGAACGCCCCCAGACAGAGCACAGCTCCTCCAGCCGACAGCGAAGGTGAGTGTTTCGGTTACCTTGGATACCATCGCATCGCATCCGAAATAGCACCGATTGCCAGCGGATTCTACGCATTTGCAGAAGCCTATGATATAATAATGTCGCGCTCTCTGAGTCGCGTACTGGGCACCTTCAGCCCCGCCACCGGAAATGGGGCACCCAACAGACTGACGCCCCTGCGCGGACTTCTCGGCACTGTGGTCCCAGTGGCCGGGTACTCGAAGCGGAATGGACCTCCCTCGGATGCCGGCGAACCCTTCAAGACGGTCTCCAAGTCGCGGGACCTCGACGACGACGATAATCTCAACAGCCTGGAGAGCGAGCCCAACTGGGAACTGACCGCGGCCCGGAGCAACCGCTTCTACCTGCCCAATGCCACCGGACCTGCCTGGCAGGGTGACACCACCACCGTCGGCCTGCTCACCCCGCTCGGCCAGCTGGTCAACTTCCTCAAGGAGGCCAATGCAGACAAGTCGCGTCTGGAGTTCGCCTGCTGCCAGTGTCCCATGCTCATCCGCGAGTCGCTCGTGGAGCTCTTCCCCGTGCGCGTCGTGGCGCAGCGGGATTCGGCCATCACCATGCTCGTCCTCAGCTACGAGGGGGACATCGAAATGGGCGCCGCCAAGGTGAGGATTCCGAATGTAGTTTAGTCAGATATGCATGTGTCTAGATATAGCCTTGATCACCTTTCTGTACTAAACCAGTTTCTCAAGTTCAAAGCTTCATATGTAGCTGACCTTAAGTACCACTACTACTATACTATAAAGAAAGCTTGCTGCATCCATTACTAGATTTAGATATAATTATGTTATATTGTAACTCATAGTTATTTCCTAGTTAGAGAATTGATTTTTTCTGTATTTATACTACCTTTGATCAAGTTTATTCATATAATGTTGAATAAAAGTATAAGACAGATGTAAAACACGACTATTTGGTTCTAGAATAGGTATATTATCAACTAGGGAACCTGCATCTCATACTAAATTAGAAAATGATTTTCGTATTATGATGTAATTCTTATTTATTTTTGAGTTTAATAACTGATCTCTCCTGTACTTATACCACCTAAGATGGACTGTTTATGGTATAGTTCTTTTATAACATTTTGAATGCTAGTACATGACAGTCGTGAAACAAGAAAATATAGTTCCGGGATCAGGCTATTATCTAAAGAAGTAATTTAACTAATGACAACTCCATACTTCCAGTTTGTGCTGGCTGCCCGGGACATAAGCGATCGCCTGCTGTCGCTGGGGTACTGGGCGGACTTCCTGAACCCCTTCAGCGGACGACCCTACTTCTTGCCGCGGGACGGGGCCAAACTGTACAAGCAGGATCACCGCTTTCGGGGCCTGAACATGCGGCTGTCGCTGCAGAACCACTGCACAGTGATCGCCGCCGAGGAGAACGATCGCACCCACTTCTCGGGCACCATCTACTGCACGGCGCCGAATCACTACGACCAGCTGGTGGAGCTGCTGGTGCCGCCGCAGCGCAAGGTAGCCCAATGACGCGGATGCGGAAGCCATCGGAGTTAAGATGTAGTTGAAGCCTTTTAGTGATGATGACTGTGTTAGCTGTTTAGGTTTTCTGTTCCCGACACTGTATATAGCCGACAAATGCTGGTGTTATATATGCTGTGCGAAATATAATCGATAAGAATGTTGAAAGAGGGCGTGTTTTAGGCCACGGCCATGTGGTGGCAGTGCCGCTCGATCTCCTTAAGGCGGTTGATCAGCGACTGCAGCTCCTCAGCGTTGCAGATGAACTCCACGATGGTCTCCCGCTCGCCGCTGCTCGGCCGGAAGTTGCCCAGATTGATGTGGAAGTTGGCCACGCCCGTGCTGCAGTCGGAGGTGGAGGACTTGACGTCGCACACAATGCGCCACTGGATGTCGGTGATGTGCGGGAAGCTGTGGCCCAGCTGCAGCTGGCGAAGGATTAGCTCCTTGCGGTTGTCCTCGAACACGCGGCTCAGTTCGTCGACGGCGCCGGCGTCCAGGGCCAGTTGCTCCAGCTGCTGGCGAAGCTGGAGCCCGTCCCAGCCGTGCTTGGTGGCCAGGGCGTAGAGGGTGACCACCGCGTACTCGCTCTGTTTGGCGCAGGCGGCATTGCTGGCATAGAGCTCGGGAACGGGTGCAATGGCTGTGGGATGGTGGGCATTGGTTAGACCATGTGATACGGAGTCTTCCCAGTTTCCAACTCACTGGCATCCGGATGTAGGGTCAGTTTCAGAGAGTTCGCAATGAGCAGCTTGGTCAGTGGGGGCGAGATGATGCCTCCCAGGTTCTTGAGGCCGGCCACCACGGTGGCGGAGAGCAGGCCGCTGGGCTCAGGGTCCGCATCCATGGCGGGGGACCTTCCCGGCGACGTAGCCATGTGTGGCAGCCTATATCCTTTAAGGCCTCGCGAAGAAAAGATAAAATATACGGGGACCAAGAAATCGACCCGGTTGTAAACAAGAAATGCGCCTAACAGCACGCTTGGCTCACTTAACAGCAACCTTTTACAGATGCAAAATCTTCAGAGCTCTTGAGTACAGTGAAGTCTCTTTACAGTAGACAAGGAATATTTGAAAAGAAAACTTAATTTTTAAATTTCAAACACTAAATTGTGTTACCACAAGCAATACATTTATTTCATGAATTAACGGATTACATGTAAAATAATTTCCTATTAAGAAAAGGTATTGAATCGTTAGACCCTTTGATAATTTGTTTGCTGCTATTTAAATAGAGTACTATTTTAATTATAAAAGTTATTTATTTTATTATCAAAAATAAATGTTTACTTGACTGAAGTAGAAATATTTATAAATTAGACCGATAAAGCTGAAATGCCAATATAAAGACAAATATCTGGTTAAATTTGTTTTTAAGTTTTATTTAAATATAACTTTTTTGAAACACATCAAAACTTATTTGAATGTTGACTGAAGTAGAATACATTGAACTGCTAATAACAGGACGGCAACTTAACAGGAATCTTAGCAGAGCTAACAGAAATGAACCGGAACTTGTGGTTACTAGCAGTATATCTTTCGACTTGGGAGTTATTATTTTGGGAAATCCAAGGTGCTATAATTCTAGTCGTTCACCTCGAACAACCAAAGCTACCTTTCGGTAACTGGAAAACAAGAAAGCAAAATGTGATATTTACAGATCCTGGGCTAGCTGCTACACCCTATAGAAGCACTCTTGCGCCCGGGGCTCGCAATTGTCATACGGTTTCAACATGGCATCTCCGTGGACTGTCCTGCCGGCCGCATCGATCTCGTCCAGCTCCGAATCGGGCACACAGGCGCACTGGAAGCTCTTGTTGCCGCGGCTGTAAAGCTTGCGCGGATGACCGATCCAGGAGCGCTCCTTGCCATCGCCGCTGGTGGTGGTGCACCAGACGCGGGTGCCCCGCTCCTCGCTCCACTCGATGTTGCAGCCGGGATACCGGGCGCGCAGCTCCTCCACCTGCCGCTTGGCATCCCGCGCCTGCTGCAGCAGCTCCAGGAACTTGTGATGATAGTTGGTGGGGGCACCCGTTGCATCGTAGAAGCGCCCGACCAGCCGACCTTTGTAGACGTAGTCTTTCTGGTAAAAGTCTCGCCACCCGGCAAGTCCAATCAAATCGTCTGGCTTCAGGGTCAGCACATCGTCGGACGTTTCCGGATCGTAGGACTCGAAGTCGCCGGAAATGAAGGACACGGAGGCGTCGCGGCCCACAAAGAAGTTGTAGCTGCAGCCGGAACCGTAGTGCTTGATGCCGCGGCTCACATCGAAGACGGATCCCAGGAGGGCAAGGTACAGGGGACGTCCATCCTCGCCATTGAAGTGCGCCAACTCAGCCTGCGTGAAGAGCGTTCCAACTTCGTCACCGGTCTGAAAGGCCACCGGAACGCCTGCATCTCGGTCAGTCGTGTCCAGGTAGTCGTCCGTGTGCCGCCGCAGGAACTGCTTAATCTCTGTGCGGTAAACTCCAGCCAAGACGGCGGCCACTACGAAGAGAAACTGCAATTTGAACAGGTGTCGCAGCAAACCAAACATCTTTTACTTTCCCAGCCCGGAACCGGAACTGGTTCCGCCTGCAGTTCTCACTCGTAAGTGAAAAGTGTGACCATGTCGTGCAAAAAGAACGGCAAACCGGTTTGAATTTTTAAGAATTGAAAATTTGAATAATATAATTTTCCAAATAGTCCCTTGCCACAACAAGAAATTTATTCAATGGAAACGACCATCTAATAAACCTTATTTATTATATCTCCAGACTTTGTTTTAAAATCTTGATACAGCTTTTCTCAAACTTTTAGATTCTTTTCTTAATCATCCTCTTACATATTTCTTCTTACACTGTACAAAAAGATTAAACGAGGTATAAGATAACAAATTATGGGAACTTTTATATATGTTAGTCATTTTTTTCTAAAATAACAGATAACAAAAGAAGCTGTGAATTTCAGGTTTCAATTTATATATTTTATAGAAAAATATTTTTTAAGTAAATTATATTTTCTAAGTTCCTGACGATTTATATTTTGACTGTGCCTTGACCAGAAGCCTTTAAAAACCACAAAAATAGGACCAATAAACTTTTTGCATAGAATATCCATAATTTTTATTAGCGTGAAACAATTAGCTGACTTGGTGCATGACCTAGCGGCGACGGGAGACGCAGGCGTCGATGTGGCTGCTGACCTCCTGGAGGGCGAGCACCGCCTGCGAGGATGCGGAGTGGGTGCACGCGTTGCCGTAGACGAAGACGGCGGGGATGCGCTCGCTGGTGGACTTTTTGATGGTCTTGACGGAGGAGCGGGCACTGACCAGATAGAAGGTGGCCTGGACGTAGAACTTGGTCATGCAGGACTTCTTGAGGACGGAGTTCTTGTAGCTCTGGCACTTGTTGTAGGTGCTGGCCACGTTGTAGCCCCCATAGACCAACTGCTGGGTGGCGGCGCTCACGTCGGTGGCGATTTCGGCGGATGTCTGGGCGGCAACGATGCCGCAGGAGTGCAGATCCTCGTGGGCGGCGTCCACGATGCTGGCGATCTGCTCATCCTCGGCGGCGACGCACTCGGGACTCTCCTGGCGACGCGACTCCACCTGGTCGAGGGCCGCCTCCAGCTCCTGCTGCGGCTCCCGGACGATCTCATCGTATTGGTGGACCAGGGCCAAGCCGGTGGACTTGCCAATCTCGGTCATCTCGTCCACCACGCTGTGCACCTCGGCGTCCAACTGGGCGGGCAGCTGGGCGGGAAGCTCCAGCGGCTGGGCCCATCCGCTGGCCACGAAAAGGGTCAGGATAATGACTGCGGCGGTCCTCATGATTTCTACTGGTTTATACAGAATTGCAATTGCTACTGCTGACTTTGACAAATTAAAATCGTATTTATACCCGGGCATCCAGAAACGGATCATTCGTAGACGGTCCGATAATCTGGATTGCTGGCCATAAATTTATGGCCTCCATTGTAAATCATTCATGGCTTGGTTTGATTAGTGAACTTTACATTCAACCTCCTATTCATAGAGTTTCCGTAATTGGATTTAGATTAAAATTGGCCGAGTCGCACAATCACAAAAAGACATCGTAAACATCATGCATATTAAGGAAAGAGTTCTCTAGAAATAAAAATTCAATATTTTACAAGTTCTTTAATTTTACAATTTTGTAAGCATGTTTTTCTTCAACATATCTCAATAATTTTGCGAAACAAGGTCGGAACTGGGAATGTCATACCTCGTTGAGCTCGTAATTAAATTCCCAATCGACTGGCATTCAAGCCCGGAAACTTTAATTTTTGACCGATTTTCGCAAAAATAGTCGTAACCCTTATGAAAAATGTGAAATTTAGTCAAAAAATAAATTTCCCGAAATGTGATGCGGATCGGAAGCTTAGGTTGTTAGCTGCTCAAAACAGTCGGTCTTTCGGCTGTGCGCCTCGTTTTGACCAAATTACGATTGAAAACAGGGCTATTTTTGCCTGAAATCCACTCACCATTTATGCGATTCCCCAAATAATAACAACTTTAGAAAGAACCCTCAAAAATAGAAATACCCAATAACATAACACGTGTGTGTGATATGTCTCGAGTGATTTCATAGATTGACTTGCCACTGTTTTCTATGACTTTTAAACGAGGGCATGAGCAGAGCCATAAATTATATGACATTATCTTCTATAATTAAGGCATTATTTAGATTAACCGATTAGAGCGATTTTCAAGTGGCAAATCCATTAATAGCTGTGTTTTCTATCGCTCGACGCCCAGGAAAATATAATTTGCGACCTTATCGAAAGACTCCCTCGCGTTACCTCTCATTTCTGTTTTTTTCTCTGGGCGATTGGAGAAAAAAAAAGGCAGACGAAAATTATTTCGATTAAAGTAAGACAAAGTCAAATAATGGTAAATAAACCAATTGGCCGATAAAACGGCTCTTGAATATTTTAATTAACTGGGGGTATGGCCACCGATATGGCAATCTGGATCTGGACTCCGTTCGTGTATATAAGGTGGCTCCCCAGCGAGATCCCAGCAAAACCCAATCAACCATGAGGAGTATTATTCTAGTGTTGGCCTTAGCTTTGGCAGCTGTGAGTAGATCGGTAGCTGGAGTACCCAAATAAAACCTATGAAAAATATAGGGGTTCTTAAACAAACACAAAGAATTTTTTTTAAGTTTACAGTATACGTGAGTGTGACCTAAATATGTATAAAATATATACTAAATTGCTTGTTCCTCAAATAAGACAACAGTGCGTATGAGTGATACCTATCAGCTAAAATTCGGTAAAAGCTTATCGCAAACGCCTAAATTTTTACCTTGGATTGGTCCATACCTTTCTAATAGTGCTAAATCATATAAAATTATTAAACTCAACAAATAAATGTAGAAAAATATTTATTCTTATAACTAAGTCTGTTGGTCAACGCTGAGAATAATTAATGTAACTAAACAAATGCTTAAAAAAATTTTTAAAATTTAATAAATATAAAAATAAATAAATATAATTTATTAGTAAATTTATTAAATGTAAATGTAGGATAAATAATTATTTCTAGTTGTGAATGAGATTTGCTGGTCAACACTGCGTATGATTAATGTGACTTGATATATTTAGAAAAACGGAATAATAAAATAACCTTCAAGCTAAAGGGTTTGGGATCTTCAATTCTTAAGTACCTATGAGTAATTGTCTTTTTCCTGAAAACAGGTTTCAGCAGTGCCCTTGAAGGAGGCCCATGACTCCGCCTCTCTGCAGGAACTGGTCAAGGAACTTGGCCTGGACCTGGACTTGAACTTCGACCTGGACCTGGGACTCAACCTGGACGATGAAATGCTGCAGGAGATGGGCAACGCGGAGTTGGAAGAGTTGGCCTTTCTGAACCGCCTGCTGAGCTTCTTCGTTGACGAATCGAAGGCCCTGGCCCAGGACATCATCCGGCTGACGGAGCGCCAGCTGCTGAAGATCTTCCTGTACCCGATCCGGGAGCTGGAGAAGCTGGCCGAGGACATCGAGAGGCGGGCCCTGGATGCCGGCGATTGTGCTGTCAATGTGACCACCAATGCGGCCGACGTGGTGGCCTTCACCACCGTGGAGTTCCTGGAATGCGGCTACGATGCCGCAGTCACCTCCATCGATCTGGTCCTGGATACCAAGAAGGCGGTCCTCCAGCTGACCGTGGGAAGCTATCAGCTCTACAAGCTGTATTGCAAGTGCAACAACTACAACAGCGCCGCAATGACAAAAACCTGCGAAGCTCGATTCTATACCAAACTCGCCCTCTTCCTCGCCAAGGCCCCGGGTTCGATAGCCCATTTGATTGGACTCCGGAACAGCGTTCCCGCCGTGGCCACCGATGCCACCGCCTGCACCACCGAGGCCACCCAGAATGCCACCCGGAGATTCGATGCGCTCAACGCAGCCCTCGACGACTGTGCCGCCCACTTTAAGTGAAGGATCTGCCCTATAAAATTGATATAAATCAGCATGAACTGGAGAAAAATAATACTAGGGTTACGCCGAAAACAAAGCTTTTCACCTAAATCAAGATATCATCATTTAAATTTTATGTGATAATTGCCAAGGATATAGCAAAAATACATTTTTATACACCCTTAAATCAAGTTATCAACATTTCAATTTCCTATAAAAATTATTTAAGAATTTCGGTTAAGATTTCTTTTGCAAGCCGTTCTTGCTGTCCATAGATCCCCCGTTTTCAATACATCATTTTATATAAGTATTTAAAAGCATTTAAAACTCAAAAAATTAAAAAATATATGGCTCTCAGACACCAGGCGAACAGAAAACTTAGCAAGTGACAGCTGGTAGCTAAATGTGAACTTAAATAACTGTTCATTTTCAAGATGGCAGCCCTTTAAACATTTCCCCTCCCCCCACTGACCAATAGGAATTGATGACCATTGGAAAGAACAGTTAGTTGTGAGACAAACGCAGACCAGAGATGAGCAACAATGGCCGTGGCACCAGCTTGTCACGAGCTTGTCGCGATCTTGTCACGAACTTGTCACGATATGTACGAAGTAACAGTTAAGTCCTATGTATTTGCTCAGGCCGTGCCAAAAGGAAGAAATCACTAGGGCATCTCTAAGTAAGCTTGAATTAAGCTAATCAGCTGATCGTTTTACACCTACTAAACGTCTATGTTCGCCTGGTGTCTGAAATAAAAAATTCAAGCAATTTTTCTGGAAAAGCAAGTAATGTATTTTTAAAAATAACGTATGTTTCGTCAAAAAATAATACTCCCTGTTTTTGCACAAAAAAAATCAGTATTTTGGTCGGCAAATTGCGAAATGAAGTCAGATTAAGGAATGTGATACCTCGTTGAGCTCGTAACGAAATTCCCAATCGATTGGCATATAAATCTGAAAAATATATTTTTTGAACATTTTTCGAAAAAAAAGATGATACAAAAAATGCAAAATTTCGTCAAAAAATAAATTTCGGGAAAAGTGATAGGGATCGATAGCCTTGGTTGTTAGCTGCTCATAACAGGCGGTATTTTTGTTATGCGCCTCGATTTGACTAAATTACGGCTTAAAAACGGATTAAAAATAACGTATTTTTCGTCCAAAAATAATACTCCCCATTTTTGCACAAAAAAAACAGTATTTTGGTCGGCAAATTGCGAAATGAGGTCAGAATATAGAATGTGATACCTCGTTGAGCTCGTAATTAAATTCCCAATCGATTGGCATTAAAATCTTAAAACTTTAATTTTTGAAAAATTTTTGAAAAAAATAGATGAAATTTTGGGAAAATTTTTCAAAAAATAAATTTCCCGAAAAGTAATGGGAACCGATAGCCTTGGTTGTTAGCTGCTCATAACAGGCGGTCTTTTTGCTGTGTGGCTCGATTCAACTAAATTATGACTTAAAAAGGGCTTAAAATAACATATTTTTCGTCAATAAATACTTCCTATTTTTGCACAAGAAAAATCAGTATTTTGGATCAGTGACGAATACCTAAAACCAAAGGTACACATAAAGAAGATTAAATAAAAAATCATACATTCCCCACTGCGATTAAAAAATGTTCTTGTTTGGTTTTTTGAGTTATTAGTTTTATTTAAATTTGGTTTCATTATCGTTCATCTTGTTCAAATACAATAAATAAACATTTAAACTATTTAGTGGTATGTATATATATATATATAAATCGTTTGTTTTTGTTTTTGTTAAATATTTTAAATAAGTGTATATATATTGTATTTCATGGGTTTTTCCTCATCTTCATCTGCTTCACCTCCTCTTCCCTTCCCATCCACTTGCCTTTACTTCATAATTGTCGTTCTCTTCGTACCAAAAATTTGCATTTGGTTTTTTCGCTTGGTTTGAAAGAAACTTGGTTGTTTGGTTTGTTATATAAGTAAATTGCTGTGTTCGGGCTTACGGTCGTCAAATGTCGTCTATATATTTGTGTATATATCGTACTATATAATATACTTTATACTATGCACACTTGCATGTGAGTAAAAGTAGCATGTTACATAAATACTAATGTATAAATTGTTTGTTCTACTCAAGTTTGATGCCGCATACAAGTACAACTAGGTTTGCATGTACTGGTATATCTGTATATGTATATGTCTGTGTTGGAGTGTGTGGGTGTGGGTGTGGGTGTGGGTGTGGGTGTCAGCTGTACATATGTAGAATGTATGTACCATTATCAATAATTAGTTAAACTGTAGCTAGTATATGTATGTATTTGCCATATGTTGCTCAACAATTTTTACCATCCGACTTTCATTACTTTATTGGAGTTTTACATTTTCATTTTGCAGTTTTCGGGATTTTCTCAGATTTTTTAGTTATATATGTATGTTGTTTATTAGTCACAGATGTTTTTAGGCGCGCTTTTATGCTTTAATGAATTCAGCGTGTTGTATATTATTAATAATTCAATTCTTTATAGTAGAAAATAAAATATAAGTAAAAGGCAATTTTCTTAGTGTTTTCATTTTTTTTTTGGTTTTTTTTCTGAAAAAATTTGTGCTTAATTTTGTAGAAATTTTGTTTCTTTGCCTGCATTTTATTCGTTTAAAACAAAAAAATTTTAAGATATTTTGTTTAGTTTTAGTTCGTTTTTTTTTTTTAATTTTAATAATGTATAATATTTAGTTCAATAAATTCGTTACGACACATGGACTAAGACACAGCAAAAAATATTTATGCTTAATTTAGATTCAGTTTTGTGTGTTTTTTTCTTTTATAATATTTTTTTTATCATCTTCCATTCGATTTGGTATAACTGGTAGATCATTTTTGGTATTTTTCTCTTGTTATGGCTTCAATTGCATATTATTCTTCACATTTCGCGTCCTAAATGCGCTTGTAAATATTTTTCAATAATAAATGATGAAACAGCTTAAGAACTCGTATTTTTTTTGCTTTTTTCCTTTTGCGAATATTTTTCAAGACACCTACCCGAACCTAGTTTATCTGCCAGCTTCCAAATATGTGGTTATTTTCGTAGTTCTTCGCTTTAAGGGCTAATCGATAAGATAACATCCAATCGGTAATCGGTAATCGGTAAACGGCATCGGTAATTTCTAGATAATTTCGTATTTTCGTATTCGGTATTCGGTTTTGATATGTTCGCTTCAAATGCGTGTCATGAAAATACATTTGCTTTGCTGATTCTGCAATACAACTCCGTTTAAAAATATATAGAGTAGAACAAGGCTACTACATAAGTACATAGGTATTTTATCTATATATCTGTAGACTAAATTGGGCAAAGATTTTTGTTTTCTATTTTGTCATTGGGCGTTGAAATTCCGTTCTCCGTTTTCGTTCGATAGTGCAAAAACTCCATGCATTTGCGATTGCATCTTCGATTTTCCCATTTCTACCGTTTTTCAATTCAGTATTATTATTACAATAGTGTGGCCAAAGCTTATTGTCGGAAGCGTTATGCATTTTAGTTTTAGTTTTTTTATATCTTCGGTTTTGTTTCGTAAAAATATGTTCGTTACTCGTCAACTTCAATTTCAATTTCGTATTAGATCGTATTTTAAACAACAAAGGGGAAAGTACAACGCAAAATATAAAAACTTTTCGAGATCTTTGAAAATCGCGTGTCGTTAAGGCTATTTGTTGTTAGTTTGGTTGGGTTTATTTAAGTGTTGATGTCATTTCCTCCACATTTGAGTTATTATTTTCAAAAATGTAATATTTCATTTTGGTCTTTGCTTATAATAATTACTAAAATGTATCTTTCTTGTATATATCTTTCCTTCGATAAATGTATATAAATTTTTTTTGTTCTGATTTTTCTTTGTTTTATTTTTGGCGTAACTTTGTGTGAGCTGGGTTTTTGTATTTTTGCCCATTTTTATTTTCATTTTTGTTTTTGTTTTTATTTTTATTTCATAAAGAAAATGTTTCAAAAAATGTTTAACAAACAATTCAATAGGCTTTACACGAAAATGATGTGGCATTTACTTATACGTTATATAAATCAATTGTAAAATATATTTATATATATATTACTCGCTTGTTTGTTATGTTAGTTTGTTGTATAATTAAAAATTGCATTTGGTTTCGTTGAACGTCTGGACAATTTTTCATCTTCGCCGTCGATTTTCCTCCGATTTCGCATCTACTTAGTGACATTATGTTACAACTAGATTAGTATATTTAGCTGTACGTATTTAAATATGAGTGTTTTGGGTTTTCCTTGTGTCGTGATTTCCGTTTCTGTTTCTGCCCTGCTAAGTATGCTACAGAATGTTCGAATAAACGAATAAGGATCGAATACTCCCCGCTTTTTAACCCTAGTTCCTATAAACCATATATCATAATATCCTCTGATATTGTGTTTTTTTTCTAGTTTGTTTTATCCCTTCGGCGAAAACCTTTCCTTGCTTTTTATATAATTTACAAAAATTTTGATTTCAGTACCTGATTGCAATGGGTTTTAATCTTATTTCATTTGCTTAAAAAAAATACAGACACTTGTAATTGTTGTTGTTGTTGTTGCTTGCTTTAGACATAATTTGAAGTACAATTCATATGTATACATAAAGGTATATATTTTGTTCTAGTTTCATATTTAGGCCATAATTTGTGTTGTTGGTTTGAATACGAAAACGCTTTCAAAAATTCTACAGGACATAACTCTCCCCCTCTTTCTATCTCTCTCTATCTCTCTGTCGCTTGCTGTTGTAAACTTTAATATGTAAATACACACAATTAGCTATATTTAGGTTTAAATATTTGGTTTCTGCTACACTTACGCGATTAGAACTCAATGAGCAAAGTATCTAAGACATATCCACGTCCTGGAAAATTGTTTCGCGTCCCTACATCCGATTTAGCACTACAATACAATTGGTTTCGGTTATTGTTGCTTGTAAATATAGTCGATATATGTGTATAATTATGATCATTGGTTACAAGTACAAGACATTAAAGGAGGGCACACGAATCGATTTCCTAACAATTGTTTTGTTTTATCGTTTTTTAGTTTTTTAGTTTTTTTTTATTTTTTGGAGTGTCCTACGGTTAAGTGCGACCGAGTTGGCTGAGATACAAATTAAAATTGAGGAATTGGTCTAACTTGTTATCCCTTTTTTCGTTCACAACCATGTAAAGAAGTTGGAGGGGAAGCAAGAGGACAGATACCGGTGTCCATAAAAAGCCGAGTGAAAATTGCTCTACGGGTGCTACACTCAGAATAAAAGCCTAAATGGTAAATAAATGTAATAAAAAAAAAACTCGAAATCACTTAGGATCACAAAAAAGTATTCTAAAAATCCATTATACTGAATATCTTTTTGTTATATATAGTTTTTTAACATAACTTTTGAAAAAGTAGGACCATTTTTCCGCGAGTGCCTAAAAAGCTTACCGAAACTATTATGAAATTGTTCGGAAACCGACATAATTCTCCACTAATTGTTCTCTTCCCGTAATCCCTGAACTATTTACCGAATAAAAGGAGAAAATTGGAAGTATGAACTTTATACTTTTCGGATTTCTGGCAAGGATTCTAGATGTGTATGCGAGTAATATATCTAATCTGTTGACTGATTTCTTGAATTTATTGCTGATTCCGTTTGTTGTCCTGGGTAAAAGTTGTATCTCGATTCTCGAATTCTCGAATTCTCGAATTCTCGATTCTGTCAATTGTTATTGCTTCTGTAATTGATTCGCTCCTATCGATTTTCCTTATTCTTTGTTCGTTTTGTGTAAAGTAAAAGAAAACTCAAGCTTTTGTTCTCAAGGTTCAGGTAATCAATTTCTAGTCTTATCTGTTGCACTGAGTAGTCTGCGATTTTCCTCATTTACATTTTTCACTTTCGTTTTTCATTTTTCATTTTTCATTTGTTGTTCTTTTTGTTGTTATACTCTTTAAAGGTATGTATACATATAGGCATATGTGTGTATATATAATTTGTCAAATTTGTTACGTCATTAGTTGGATATAATAATTATACATAATTAGAATTACGATGCTCCGCTCGTGGTAAACGAAAAACGATCAACAGATGATGGAACCCTGCGGTCCAATGCTTATAGGTAGTGTCTTGAGTTGAGTTGAGTTGAGTTGAGTTGTAGTTCGAGTTGAATTGCTGCAAACTATAGTATAAGTTTAGGGTCTATAAGTACCGTTAGTTGTAGTTGTAGTTTTGGTTTGGTTTTAGTTTAGTTACCAAGTTTAGTACGTAGGTAAATTTGTGGCTGGCTGAAACAGGTTGTTCTGCGTGAGTTTTTAGGTTGGAGTTGTCAAAAGGAGAACTTTCTATAACTTTCTCATCTTATTGTAGCTTGTCAACGTTTTCTTGTTCTTATTTATTTTTTATTTATTTTTATTTATTTTTTTGGCTGCTGCAGTGCTAAAGTTAACTTTTAGGTTTTCGGTTCCTCGAAGCTTTGATTTACCTCTCAATTGCTTTTGGTTTTACTATAGTTTTGGTCAAGCGGTTTCGATCAATTGTATCTATCATTTTGTTGTTTTCTTGCTTTGTTGCTTAATTGATTCAAAGGGAAGACATAACATTCTAGAAAAAGGTTCCTAACTGATTTCGGTTTCTCGTATCTCGTAAATATATATAAGTGTATATTGTATATATTTTGTTCTGAGTATAATTTAAAGCATTCTTACATAGGTAAGTATATTTTTTTTATTTAATTATTTTTTTGTTGTTTTTGGTTTTTTGTTGGTTTTTTGTTGGTTTTTTCCACTTTCTTCTTGATGTGTAAATATCAATAACCGTTTTCTACAATAAGACATTACATATTTCTTGGTGCCACTATGTTATATAGTCATACGTATATATATGTATATAAATATCCAAGTGAGTGAGTGTGTGAAGCTTCGTCCTTCGCGGGGAGGCAGAAAGTATCCCCAGCTTGGGGGTGTTCGATAATTATTGGGCGAGTGTTGGAGGGTGCGGTGCCTAGGAGGTTGAGCCCTATGTATAGAAACTTTTGTACCAGGCCTTAGAAAAATCAATTGAACCCTTGGGATGGGGAAAAGACTTTCAACATTTTCGTGTAAAAAGCACAACGAAATAAATGTTTATTCTACCCACATCCTACTTTCCTACTGCTCTCCTTTCGATCGTATTTATTGTGTTTTCTTCTTGTTGTAGGAATGACACGCCCTTAATTTACATATCCGTATATATAATATATTTTCATATAATTTGTTTTTGTTATTTTTATAAGACAACATTCAAACACTTAAGATGCTTCATCAAGTTAATAAATATTTTTTTTCTTTTTGCTCGTTTTCTTTTTTTTTATCATTTGTTAAAATATCAAAAGTGGATGGAATTATGTGATTCTAGTTATTACACACACTATTTATGTATATATATATTTATATATATCGTTCCTTGATAATACAATTCATTTGTCATGGTTTGGTTTTGCTGCCTGAAAAAATTCGGACCAAATTTTTTAGGGGGATTCTTTAAATTTCTCACGTGCTTGTTAAATATACAAAAATATCTGTAGAGACTTTTTGCCTTAAAATGGTGTGTGTAGATATAATTGTTAAATGAAACCATTTTTGCAAAAAAATTACAAAATCAGGATTTCTCTAGGGGGATTGCTCAATGCTAAAAATTCAATTGAATATAGTTCACTCGCTTCATGGCACAATATTCAATAAAATATTGTCAGCTCGAAAATCGATATTCGATGAAGATTGCTGAAAGAGTGAATCGAAATTCAAGTCCAAATCAGAATCCAAATCAATACTCCATAGTTATCCGTCGATTGAGTTTCGTTAAAGGTACAGTTACCATTTAGAATGCTATATTTGTTCTTATAATGCTTTATTGTATAATTGGTTCAAAAGTTCGCTCAGTGTATGCATGTGTGTATTCGTTATTCCTTTGCTGTAGGGATATCGGGGTCACCAAACTCAGTTAACGGGGTCACAAGCAGGTGGCGTTTTAAAAACCATTTAAAAAATATCTTTAACTATTTTGCCAATTAATTAAATAAAAAAACAAGGATATGTCTAACGTTTTTTTAATGTTGGCTATTCGGGGTCACCAAAAAATGTTTTCTTCGGACCTGGCAATTTTTGTATCTAGTTTTGAACTATAGCGAAAAAATTGCTCAAACAAGTACGTTTTCAATTCAAGTAACGTAACAAAAAGATATGTTAAGGGTTATTACCGTGTGAATTTTAAGTTCAAGAAAGCATTTGTTTTTAACTAATGTAAAAAAATCGCTGAAACAATTTGTTATACACAACAGAGGGATATATCTAGGGTTTTTGGGGACTTCGGCTCAACAAATGAATATTGTCATTATTTCTTTTACTCTCTTCATTAAATTCTCAAAATTTGTATAATATTTGTAAACGCTAATTTGTATATTTTAAAAATTATTTAATACGTATGTAAAGCATATCAAAGCCAAACACACACACGCGCGCCAAAACTAATCAAGAGAAGGGGTTTCCAAAATCAAATAAATTAGTTATATCATTGATTTAAGACTATCACAGGCGGGAGGGGGTTTCTCTGAAGGGGCAATGGAGTTGTGGGGGGCTATTGGATCGGGTCTATATAGACCATATAGACCCGATCTGATCCTGATTCTGATCCCGGGACAGCAACAATTGAAACTTATTCTCGAGGCATTTATGTATAGGGTGCCGTCAGGGAATCATCTATCATATCATGTCATCTACCATATCCGAATATACATATATCTCTGCCTGGATTAGGTCTAGAGTGTCGTGTGTTTTGAGTTTTGAGTTTTGAGTAGAGTTGAGTTGAGTTGAGTTGAGTGTGTGGCATGCAAGAGTTTACTTATCGTTCGTTAAATAGTCTGCCATTTGCGAGTAAAATGGTAAAAGGTGTAAAAAGCCTAAGGAGTACAGTCAGCAAAAATGGTATAAGTTGGTTTCTGTAGTTCACATAGTTATAAGTATGTAAATAGTTTAAATCTGCGCCTTCCCGTTCGCTATATATATATTATGTATATTGTATGTGTAAAGTTTACCTAGCACAAATCAGAGTCAAGTGAGAAGGTCGAAGTTCGAAGTTCGAAGGTCACAAGGGTTAGATGTGGATAGAAGAACAGTTAGCTTGGTTCTAGAGGAACATTTACATATGCTTTTGTTTTTTTCTTTTACATTAATTTCTTTAATTATTGGTGTTTGCCCTTTAACCCTTGTGCTATTAACTAAATGCTGCCCTACAAAAAAAAACGAAGATACAAATACTTATGTATGATGTAAATTTGTTTAAATCATTTGTGTTTTGGTGTTCTTTTTTAGTTTAGCTTCTTCGTTATTTGTTTTTTGGTTTTTTGGTTTTTTGGTTTTTTGCTTGGTAAAATTCCATTTGTTCGAGTTTAAATATATCCACAGTGGCTACTTTTGGCGCCCACTGTCCATATGAAATATATATGTGTATATATATTTGCTTAGTAAATTTTAAGTTAATTCAATTTTTACTTTTGAGGCAGCTTCTTTTAGTTTTGTTTTTCTATTCTCAAAGAAAGTTCAAAAATCCTGTTGAATAGTTTGGGTAAACATATATCGGTTCGATCTGCTCGAAAAAATGTTTGCTGTGCCTTGAGTTTGCCCTTTCTCTTACATGGTTTTTACTTTTTTTTTGTATTTTTTTATTGTATTGCACTCTGTATTTTTTTAGTTTAATTAAAATGCCCAACAATTGTTTGTTTTTCGCTTTGGTTGCTTAAAGGGAGATTGTTTTGGTTTGTTAATGGTTTGTTTTTCGTTTTCGTTTTCGTTTTTAACTATACAACATCAAAAATAACTCACATAAAATTCATTCAACATCTTATCGTTTAGGCTAAAGTACACATGTATATGTCATGTATATATCATGTATATAAGGTGTATATAATTCATAAAACATTCTAATGGTAATATGTTTGTATGTTTTTTGGTTTTGCTATCGTTTTCTTCGTCTTCGATCTGCTGGAAAACCGTATTTTTCATTATCATATTCATCCAATTGATTTTTATCATCCGTAGTCCTATATAGGTAGTATATGTATAAATATCGTAATCGTAATCGTAATCGTAATGCAATACAATAAGTTGACTGTATATTTGGTGCCCAAAAATATTGTTGTTGTGTTCCTGCACTCGACCCCAAAAATGTTTTTGCAAACTTCGCTACCTTACAAAATATCTGCTTATGGATTACAAATCGTATCTGTATCTGGTTTTGGTTTTGGTTTTGGTTTTGGTTTTCCATTATTCATTTGGTTTCTCGTTTGTTTAAAGCCATTTGACAACACAGGGAATTTGTTCGTTAATGTTTATTGGGTTTGCATTACGTTTGCTTGAAATGTCGATTATTTGATCTCTATAGGGATTGGATAATCTATGCGTATTTTGGAGGATCCCGAGGGCCTTATCCATGCTGCCCACACACCGTTTACATTTTACATTTTACGTTTTTCACTTTCATTATTCTTTTTCCAATACATCGTTGTCTAATTTATGCGTTTCGTGTGTGTGTGTGTGTGTGTGTGTGTGATTTTAGTGGTGTGGCAAAGTTTCTTGCAGTGTAGCTCGCTCCGATCTGGATTTTCCTGCCCTCTAAATTGGTATCTACATTTAGTTTCTTCGTTTTCTTTTGTTATACTATATATATTACTTAAAAATTTGCCAAGGCGCGCAAAAGTTTTCGGTTTCTATTGGTTTTGTTTTTGGTCATATCTTAATTCGAATATACATATATATATATATTTTGTTATTATCGAGCTATGTATAAATGTGTTGTTATTGTTAGTTGTGTAAATTTTGTTTTCCATAATATCGCTACACATAAAAATGTTGGGTCTTTTGGGGTATGCCACATGTTGAACGGTTTTCTTACATTGCGAACAACCCCAGAGACAATTTGAGTTCTCAAATTGTTTCACTCGGCATTAGTTGCTATAATATTATTGCTCTATGGTTCTACAACTAGTATATTGATACCCAATTGTCTTTGGTATGCCATTTCCCATGCCATTTCGTATGCTACTAGTTAGTTTATGTATTTGTTAATTTAAATTGTTGCTTTTTGTTTTGTTTTGCGCTGAGAGAAATTAGGAAGTTGGTTTTCTTGTTCATTAGCTTAGTTTCTGGTTTCCTTGTTGTTCGGTTTTGGTATTAAAATTCTAGAAAAATAAAAGCTTTCTAATTGCTTCTGTTTTCATATGGTATCCTGCCGCTTAGCTCCTCCTAATATTTCCATTTCCATTTCGATCCGATCCTATCGTAGATATACGTACATAGCTTCCTTCTGGCCCAAACACGAAAAGCTTTTATTCCTATTTCGTTTTCGATTTCATGTTCGTTTTCGTTTTCGGTTTGTATTGCAATTTGTTGATTCTAACTTGATTTTTCGCTATAAACTAGTAAATATGTATGTATATAATATTTTTTGTTTCGTTTGTTACTTGGTTTTGTCGGTTGTCAAAAAAGGACTCACTAAATGTTACAGCACATCAATAAACAATTTATCCTTTTCGCTTTCTTACTCTAATCCGTTTTCGTTTTCTATCGTAAATCATGGCACTATAGTTTTAGTTTCTGTGTGGTTTCCTCTATAAGACATATGCGCTTAGATATATATTCAAAAACACTACACACTCATTCGCACGCACAAGACACACACACTGACAAAAAAGGTGAGCAACAATCGATCGAAGAAAACCAGGGGTGTGGAACCAAATCGACAAACCTATCCCCATTGTGGTGTATAAATATCGGCATAGTGTGTAAACATTATGCAAAAAATCTCTTACTTTCATTTTCATTTTGGTTTTCCCTTTTTCGTTTTTAGTTTTTCGTTTTTGTAGCATAGTGTAAATAATTCCCAGTGATATGTACGCAAATTTAACACAACAACTCGACCAGGGAGTTTTTACTTTTTAGCCTCTCTTATTGGTTTCTACATATTTTTTTATATTTTCTAAACATTAAGTTCAAGCGGAAAGCGTTAAATGGTCGATGACTTAAATGCAATATCTGAACAGAGATTTTAGGCAAGATACAGATACAAAGCCTGAGTGGTACCAAAATGTATGATGTGTAAGAACCAAGGAAAAACAAAGGCGATAATGTTCAGTATATTGTTTTTAAATTCTTTTCGGCTCATTTTTTATTTGTTGGGGTTTTCACAAAGTAGGGGGAGTACTTTTTGATCCCTGGTGTTCTATATTATTTGACCTACATATAAATATATCGTTCACATAATTCACATAGGCTGAACACAACTCAATATTATCAACAATTGTTTCGTGAGTTAAGATATTACAAGAAATAAATTAAGGATTAAACGAAAATTAAATGTAAATTCATAAATCATAAATCATAAAGTTGAGGAACTTGTTTGTTTTCTCCATTACTTATAGCAGGCAAATCAAATTTTGGGGCTAGTTTTCATGGTTTTCTGTTAGATTTAAAATGTTTTTAGATCGATTTAGAAACGTGTTTAATTGATTTGCTTGCTTTGAGTTTCCAGTTGTTTTTTTTATTTTGATAATGTTTGGTTTTTAGAGTGTCGTGTGTGTATTGTAAACTTGCTTTTGATTACATATTGTTGGTTTTTTGTTTTTTTTCGTTCAGTTTCCATCGCTTAATGTTATTAATGATTTATCCGTATAATATATATATAATTCTTTTTGGTAATTGATTGCTTGTCGTTTAGTGTTCATTTTCTTGTTGTCAACTTGACATGTGATCTCCGCAAATAAATCCCAAAAAATTGTTCTGCTTTTATTAAAAAGTGTTCTTTCTTGGTATTCCTACTGGAAGCCGGGGATAATAACCCCCCGGTTTCAACTAACTTTACTTCGAATTGGTTTTCCATCGATTTCTTTTTGTTTGTCTATAATAAGGCGAAAAATATCATCAAAAAATTGACGTACACTAGATTGTATTTCTGTTGTTTTGGTTTCTATCAATTATTGTTTTACATATATGTAAGTATATGTACGCATGTATAAATAATTTAGTAAATTTGTTTTGTTTTTTGTTTTTGTTTTTGTTTTTGTTTTCCTCGCACGTCTCCTCTTTTTTAACGGGGACTGTCTTATAGGTTGAGTTCCTTTATCTGAATGGGTTCTCTGGACCAGAGAGACCTCCTTAAAAAATGTTTTCTCGCTTTAAATAAAATACATAATATATTTGTTGTCGTTTTGTATATGTCTGCTTGTATATGTATATATAGATATATGTTTTGTTATACATTTATATTAAAATAATTTGATGTATAAAGCGTTTGTTTGGGTTGGTTTTTCTTTTGTTTTTGTTTGTTTGTTTTACGTTCGATTTATGTTACTTGTGGCTCTTGTCTCGGAATTTAACTAAATGCAATTATGATGCAAGACGCACAAACTACTAAATGGGCAAACCATGAGGGGCGGGGTGGGTGTTTGTGGGCGTAGTGGGCGTTTTGTGGGCGCTTTCTGGGTGGCTGGTGGCTCAGGAGGCATTGTGTGTAGCAGTGTGTGGTGTGTTGTGGTGTGTAGTGGTGTGTAGTTAACTAAACCATCGACCTTGACTGATGTGAATACCCCTGCACGTGTACCCGACTCTATATATATATCCTCACTTTCAATATGTATATCGTATATGTATAGTGTTATATGTCCTATATCCGCACGAATCTGTTTGGTTTTTTCTTAAGCGTCGCATCGAGGAACAAATTATGTAACAAATCCAGCTGGAAATACTGTACTATATCGATATCGTTAATTAGTTTCCGTTAATAGCGCTGCTTTACATTTACATTTTTGGTTTTCTTTTGAGCAAAAGTCTCAAAAATATCTCTCGCTTTTGTTTTCCAATTCATTTATTTTTACCACAGAAAAACAGAACAAAATTAATACACTTAATTGAACTAATCAAATAATAAACGTAAAAATAAGGTGGACAATACGTAATATTTTACTTTGTAATAACTCCTCTCTCATCTCTTCTAATTTTCCACATCGATTGTATAAAAATCTTTGGCAGCATCTTTATTAAAAGGTTCGTGTCCTTCGTTCGCTTGATTTCTCGCTTTGATCTTGCCAATTTTTCGACTATATATAGGTAGGTATACATAGCTATATAATGTAATATGCGTGTCGATTAGGAATTAAAGTAACTATATATCAAGTGATTGAGAAACATGTGTAAAGTTAAGTATTTCCTAATTAGTTGTACACAATATGTTTGGATCTTCTCCACATTCACTTGCACTTTCGCTGAGTAGATCAAAGTAAAGTAAAAACCATAAAGTACTGGGAATACGAATCGAAAATTAATATATATATTTGAATACAGTACATGTGATTTCGATATACGTAGATATATAATATAGATGTAAAGAGTTGAGGTGGAAAGCTTTCACTTTGTCACATTATAAACAGTAGGCAACTAAGAAAATATCTCATTCCTCACACGATTAGTTTCGTTACATTTTTCGTTTTCGTTTTCATTTTAACATTTGTGGTTTTTATTGCTTGTTGCAGCTTTCGGCCTTGAAAATTAAAGCGCAGTGGGTGGCGGGGGCGGAGAAGGGGGTGGCAGGGGGCGGTCTTGGTCAAATTTCGTCAGTCGGTTAAGTTGGTTAAATGTAAATGTAAAATGGCAATTTGTCCAAAAGCGTCCTAAAGTCCATGTTCCGCCCCGTGTAATTTCTAATCACTATTTCCGTTTCCGTTTCGTTTCGTTTCGTTTCCATTTCGTTTTCCAGTTCGTTCGGGTTAGTAATTGGTAATTAGTAGTTAGTAATTGGTGTTTGTCACTGACTAGTGGTAGTACCGCCCCTCTCCTGGCCACGCCCCCTTTCTGGGCCATTCGCTAATCGTACATAACTGTATACATAATACGAATATATACAGGTTGTAAATATATATATATTTTCGCTAGAAATCCTATAGTTCATACGTAGTTAGTAAAATGTTATCGTCGTTAAGTTGCGTAATCTCAACTAAATTGTAAATTTGATTTAAACTTAAGCACATTATGTTTATTTGGTTTTTCACTTAAAAATTTGTATGCCATAGGAAATAAATTTGTTTTTGTTTGTGTGTTTGGTGTGGAAAAGTTGTTTTTTTTTTTGCTACTTAAACGCATCGCATCGCATCGCATAAAAATCATATACAATTTCACTTAATATCATTTTCATATTCAACTTAAATTAAAATTTTAAATTTTCTTTAAAGCAACAATTGACTTTTTCCATTTTGTGGTTTTAACAAAGAGAGAGAAATAAAAATTAAACACAAATTAAGATAATAATAAATGTTAACCTCTTTATGTGTCGGTTTTAGTTTATAAAATAAAAGCGTGTGGAATTACAATTTCATTTGAAGGCTTTCCATAAAAACTATAAACAAATGTAAAATGGTATTTTTTTGTTGGTCTATCCCTTTTTTTGTATAACAGTTTTCGAGTTTGGTTTTATGTTTTGTTTTACAGAAATTCTGTTGCCTAAGACGAAGACAAAGTATTAGGAAACATAAGTAAAAAAAAAACAATAAAGTAAAAATACAAACACGATTAGGAGAAGAAATTAAAAACAAATCTTTTGGTATACTTTGCATTTGAGTGCTTTCATTGTCTTTAGCAAAATGTTTCCTCTTAATACTTCCGTAGTTAATGCAGCGACAAAAATAAAATTATCTATGTGAAAATGGAAGAGGAAAGGTTTAAGGAAAGTGAACCGAAATCCAAGGGATTTCGCGATAAATTCAATTCATAGTATAACATTCGCTTGGGGCCTAAGTTACAGTAAACGAAATGCAAAAACATAATTAAATTAAAAATTATATATTTCAACAGCCAAATTGTTTCACAAAAAATTGCATTTTTTACCCTCTCTCTCTTTCGCTCAGAATCATACATAATCATAATCGATCCTCCCTTTCTAAGACCTTCTCGTCTACGATCAACAACTTTGGGGTACTTCCTATCAATTATAATGTTTATAATTTCAGTGGTATAACATAAACAGAAGCGTTTCACATTGGTTGTGGTAGTTATTCATAGGTTTACACTAAAACTAAACTATAATTAGGTATACAGAACTGTGTAGCCTCACACGTAACAACGTAAAAACTAAACAAAAATAATTGTAATTACACATATGACAGTAGTAAATGATGGTTAAGCAAATGTTTTAGGGTATTCATAATGGTACATTTGCTTATTTAGTATCAACTTAAGATTTAACATGAACATAAACGCGATTTTCATGGTTTTGTGTTGTGTATATGCTTAAACTAGGATTACAAATTAAAAAAATGACAAGATTTAAAACAGTTTTCTTCACTTTTCCCAGCACGAGTGCCAAAAATGGGTTTAACATAATTTCTGCTGTTTAAAACATTGAAAAGGAATCGAAAACGAATAGGATATTATTCACAATACAAAGGATTCGTTTCGTTGTATATGCAGCATGCTGCATGTTGCATGTTGTGTAAGTGAGTATGTGTAGTGTAAACATAAGTGTAGATGTTGATGTGGATGTATATAATAAATGTGGTTACAGCCTATAAAAATAAGTTGCTTGCTTCGCTTTGCTTTCTCGCCCAACTTCTAAATCATCTAAATAAAACGCCACTTTGTTGTTCTACCTATCGTTTCTCACATGATAAAATTCACACAATTAAAAATGTTATTTTGTATATAGATAAATAATAATGTCTTGGGAGTAAACCAGCCTTATATTGTATTACAACGGGAAAGAAATGTTGCATGTATCCGTACATATATATCATCTTAAATGGTTGTTTGTCGTTATATCGTCAATATAAATCGTGAGTGTTGTTGTTGTGGGTGTGTTGTGTGTGTTGCGGTGTGTGCATGTCGATAACATGCACGTGTATTGCATTTATTTTTTGTATATAAGCAAAAGGAATATTTGTTTTTCTTTGTTTTTCGTTTAACAATGTATATAAGAACTTAACAGATACGTTTGTAGGTTTTTTAACGCTTTTTGTTGTTGTCTCTCTGCTGTTTTTAGTTATCATAGTTGTTGGCCTAATGCGATCCGCATTCGATTTGTTTGGTTTGTTAGCTTACAGAGTAATTTGTATGTTGAGTTTGTTGTCTGTAGTTCTGGTTGGATCGCTGGCGTAAAGAACGCAATTAGTTGGATACATATCGAATGTATGTTCTCTGGGTCGGTCTCTGGTGTAGTGTGTGTTGCCTCCTCTCTTCCTTCGTCCTTCGTCCCTCGCTTTCGCTTTCCCTATGCCTATGCCTAACTCCCTACTGCTCTCTCGTCCTGCTTTGTATATTATATGGCAAAGTCATATAGTCATAGGATTTCACATATATGTTTAAGATATATATAGTTTTGTTTTGTTTTTATATATTCATATAGATTTATATATAAATAGATATCACCTTATATAAGCAGCGTAAGGAAAAACCTAAACAGTTTTTGTTTTCTGAATTTTGTTATCTTAGTGTTTTGGTTTCAGTTTCGAAATCAAAATAAACTACTTAGATTTCATCTTCTTCTATAATTATTGCCTGTACGCGACCTCTGATGACGCCCTCAACAAATGATTTACTTCCTTATTTGCTTATTTGTTAGCAAAAACCTGTGCACAAAAGTTGCACATTTTGCTAGATATACATAGATGTTGTATACTAGGTGTAGATATATATATGCGTGTTTCGTTTTTTTTTGTTTTGTTTTTTAGAAAAAGATTCTGGAAGGGTATGCACAAAAAAGCTAATCGGTCGATATAACAATATATATGTCTATATAGATAATAAGTAACATGTAAAGTAGTGTTTGTGTGAGTGTGGCGTGTGTGTGTGAGTGTGAGTGTGTATGACAATTTTTAACAAGAACATAAATTCAATGAAAAAAGCATAATCAAAAACAATTTAAAGAGTTTTTAAAAAACATTTTCAAAATATCCCACTTTCCTTCGTTTTCTCCTCTTGCTTGTTGTTGTTATTCGTTACACTAAGTAAAATATTTTTGTTTTTCTTTGTTAGATTTGTTGATGTTTGTTTTTAGTAGTAGCGCTAATTGTTTTTAAATTAGAGATCAAAAATAGTATTTGTTGCATTTTGTTTATCATTTTGTTATTGGTTTATACAGTTGCTGTGGCTCGTGAAACGGCAACGTTTGTGGTTTAAAAGGATTTTTGGTGTTTCGAGATTTTGCTTTTCCCTCTTCTAGCACATATGTATATATACTTTGTCCTATATATACGCCTAACTGGATTGTTGCAATTGCTGGTAGTAATAGTGTTGTTATTCCAGCTAGCTTGCTATGCCTTTCTGCAACCGCTGCTAATTCTTGCTTAAAGTTGCTATTACATGACTGATGGTGTTGTCGTCGACGGCTGTTGGTTGCTGTTGCTGGTGTTGCTGCCGTTGCAAATGAGGCTAATGTTGCTCATGTTGTTCATGTTGCTCATGTTGCTCAAGTTGCTCATGTTGCTCATGTTGCACATTTGACTGATGCCGTTGCTGTTGCTATTGCAGTGTTGAGGTTGAGGTTGGGTCCTTGCCAAGAGGTTAATGTTGCTGTTGCTATTGCTGTTGCTGTTGCTATTGCTATTGCTATTGCTGTTGCTGGTTGCTTGCTGCTGCCGTCGACACCCGTATATCTTGCCCGACGAGTATTTGTAGTTGTATTTGTTCATATCGACTGATGGACGATTGTTGCGCGCTTTGATTTGCAATCAGTGAACATAGAGGGTGTTCAGGACCAGAACATGATGATTGTTCTTGGCCAGCGTCACCACATAGCCCTCGGATGTGATCTTCAGGCCGCAGCAGCGGGAAACCTGCGAATGAGTCACTGTTAGCTCATCTCTCATCTCTAAGAGCACTCGGAAATTCAAATTATTGGTGTAAAATGTAATTTCATTGACCTTTCCTCTGTGGCTTAGTATATACATAGCTATGTCGATGGGCAATCACTCACCTTGACGTGGGGACACTCGAACTCGGACTGGAGGGCGCCCTCACGGGAGTAGCAGGCTACGTGGAAGCGATTGCCGTGCGAGTCGCCGATGAGCACGTCGCCGGCATTCGAAATATCAATGCCATTGGGAAAGCAAGTGACCTTCTCGTTGCCAATGCGATAAAGGAATGTGCCGTCGTCCTGGAAGACGGCCACACAATGGCCCTTGAAATCGCACACGTAAAAGTCGTTGTCTGGTGGGCAAGAACATTTTCAGGGTTTATTATCATTCTGTCTTTACTTTCAGTGGGGGTAACTCACCTCGTATAGCGATGTCGGAGGGCTCGCGCATGTAGTCGCTGCAGTCGAACCAGCGGACCAATTCCCCCTCCTCGGAGATCACGAACACGGTGGGCGAAACGCTATCGACGGCCACGATATGACCCTTGGCAGTGACAGCCAATCCCGCCACGATATCAATGTATCTGCAATGGGGAAAAGATCGGAATTACTTATTAGGTTTACAAAGTCGGTTATTTCGTTTTTTGTTCTATCCCAGTCGAGATTACTTTGATAACTGAAGTTTCAGATGAAAGCGTCACATTTGTCTAGTGTCCAGCCTACTTTTCCACGTTTTTTGAAAAAATATATATTAAGCTCCTTATTTGCTTAATATTCACATTAATAATTTGTAAATTTTACGAACTTTTTAAGAGACGTGTTTATATATACATGCCTATTTATATATGCTGATTGAAAGTCATTAAATTTACCTAATGGCGATCTTGCGCATAAAGTGTCCGCACTTGGAGAATATCTGCATGCGGGAGCGCTCGTTTCCACGGTCGCAGACCACGAACTTGCCGTTGTTGTGCATCACGGCCACCTTGCGCGGATACCAGAGCTGGCCCTCCTCCTTGCCCGCCACTCCGAACTGGAACTTGAGGGCGCCCATCTTGTCGAAGACCTCGATGCGATGGTTGTTCGTATCGGCCACAATGATCTCCTCGTCGACACCCAGGCAGAATCCGTGGGGCGAGTTGAACTGGCCCTTGGCGGTGCCCAGGGAGCCGAATTTGCAGCGGATCTGCATCGGGGTGGCCTTGTTGCGGCCCGTGACCACGCTGGTGGTGCCCGGCGCAGCCACGGCATGGAAGTTATTGAGTCCCATGTCCTCTACGCCACCCACGATCGGGTTGAGGGACTGCAGGCTGGGCGATGTGGCCGGCGGCATGCAGAAATCTGACAAAAAATCAATGCCCGTTGAGGATCCGTTCAACAAAAGATCATCATCGTCTGTGTGGGTGGTGTCGTAGAGGTTTCGTGGAGTGATTGTGGGATTTCGGGTGTTGTTTGGTGGGTGTGGTGTAGGTGTGGGTGGTTGGCATTTTGTGCAAGAAGCAGAAAAGAAAAGAACTCAAAAGTGTAAGGAAACCGAAAAGAAAATATAGATACATTGGCCGGGCCGCTGATCTTTTATCGATTATCATTAAAACATTAAAACACAAACCTATACAAAGAATTATTCTTAGTTTGGACTTGTACCAGAAAAATGGCTCATAAGGAAACTAATCGAAATAACGTTATAAGTAAAATATTACTTTTAAAAAAATATATAAGTAAGGTTATTGAATTTTTCGAATTTGCCAACCTAGCTCTTCTCTGTCTTATATTTTGTATCATCTTATAAATGTAAACAGACCAATCTTAGTCAGTCTTTCAATCGCTAGCACTCACCATTGTTGTTGAGTCCCAGCTTGGCCAGCGCCTGCAGGTTGTTGAGCGCCCGCTGGTCGCCCGAGAGGATGTCCGCCAGGGTAATGGGCTGCGTGGGCGTCACTGCCGATGCTGGCATCACGGCCTGCTGTTGCTGCTGATGCGGATGCGGCGCGCCTACAACAGCTCCACCGGCAACGGCCACGGAACCACCAGGCACTTGGGCAACATTCGGGACAGGTCCAGGCGCACCGCCTCCGACGGCCATGGCATCGTTGAGGCTGTCCGGCATTGTTTCCGTCAAGCTGGCAAGTCGCGAGATATTGTACTCCAGCATGCTGAAACTGGGCGGCGGACCACCGGCGCCCAGGCCGTTGATGGATATATTCGGGCCGGGACCGGCGTTGAGATTGACATGACCAGCCTGCTGGACAATGCCCTGCGGAGCAACCAGCTGGGCCACATGCGGGGGCATGGATTGGGCCGATGGTTGCTGGTGAAGCTGTTGCTGTTGCTGCTGCACTTGGTGTTGTTGGTGCTTCTGTTGCTGTTGTTGCACCTGCTGCAACACCACCGCCTGTTGTTGCTGCTGCTGCTGCTGTTGTTGCTGCTGCTGCTGTTGTTGTTGCTGCTGCTGTTGAGACTGCTGCTGCTGTTGCTGCTGGGCAGAGGGCAATTGCTGTTGCGAAGGCGGCTGCGGTGGTGAGTCCATCATGGAGAAGTTGGTCATCACCGAGTTAGTGTCGCCATCGAAGGAACTCTGCAGCGAGGAGGGCAGCGAGATGGGGCTGAATACGGCAGAGCTGAGGCGTCCCTGGACAGAGGAGCTGCCGCGATGGCCCACAATCAAATTGTTTGAGCTGTGCTGTTGCTGCAACTGCAATTGCTGCTGCTGCTGCTGCTGTTGGTGCTGCACCTGTTGCTGCTGCACTTGGTGGTGCTGGTGCTGTTGCATTTGCTGATGCTGCTGCTGTTGCTGCTGCTGCTGCTGTTGTTGTTGCTGCTGCTGCTGCTGCTGTGCCATCGCTTGCTTCTTGGGACTAGCGTCACTCTGATCCGTTTGAAATTTGCCAAACATCTCCCTGGCGAATTGCTCAAACTTTTCCGGCTTGGAGTCAAACTGCAGCTGATAGTTGACATCGCATTTGGGCGTCTGCTCCATGAGATTCAAGCACTGGGCATTGATCACGGGCTTCAGCAGCAGGAACTCCACTGCATTGGCCTTGTCGATGGCCCGCTGGCCGAATTGCGCCGCCTGCTGCAGCTTGCCCATGTTGTTCTCCATGCTCTGCATCAAGTCCATGATCTTGAGCTCGCGATCCGAGTGCAAGCGACCTAGCTCGTTGAGCATCTGGTCCTTGATCGACTCGAGCATACGCTTGTAGCTCTTGTAGGCATCCTCGATTTGCTGGCGCACCGTATCGTGCTGCGACTGGAGCTCTGTGAGGGCACTGCCCAGATTGCCGCCCGCATCGTTGCAGTAGTCGGCCTTCTTGAGCGCCTCGCTCAGTGTCTGCTCGAGATCGGCGCGTACCGCCTGCTCGGCCACCGTGGCCGTCTCGTAGTGATGGTCGCTGCCCTTGTGATCGCTCAGCAGGCAATCGTTGCACGTGGGCACCTGGCAGGTGAAGCAGTAGTACTTGAGATTCTCGCTCACGTGCTGGCGGCAGCACACCGGCTTGTGGATGATCAGCTTGTCGTGGACGTTCTTCGTCAGGTCCTCGATTCGCACCACATGGTGATTCTCGAAGCAGCGCATATACTTGTGGGCATTGTCGCAGCCGTTGCACAGGAAGTTGGCGCAGTCGTTGCACCGCGAAATGGCCTCCTCTTTGCTCTTGCACGAGGTGCACACAATGTGCTCCGACTCCAGGTTGGAGAGGTCCAGTATGTTGGTCACGATGTAGTCGCAGGTCAGACCCTTGACCCCCTTGGGGCCCAGGGGCGTCTCCTGCTTGCAAACGGGGCACTCGAGCAGCAGCGCGGGCAGGCGGTGCTGGTTCTCGCTGCCGTCGAACGAGGATGAGGAGCAGCTGTTCGGCGAGCTGGCCGCCATCGAGTCCTTCGACACCACAGCCTGCAGGCAGTCCTCACAGAACACGTGCAGGCAGGACAGGATGCGCGGCATCACAAGGCGCGAGCTGTTGGCAAATGAGAACAGAAGCCGAGGGTTAGGACTTTAAATCATTTAATGACCAAATAGACCTTCAGGGGGGATGGAAACTAGACCGCGTAAGTTAAGTCCACTTTATATTACATTTTAATAAAACACAAGTCAATTATCCCAATTATATCGACTCACCTGCACAGCTTGCATAGCTTGTCCCCATCCTTGATCATAAGGCCGTTGCACGAGTCCTCCAGCGAGTCCAGCTCGGTGACGCCGTGGCTGCTCAGCTCCTGGCTGCTCCCGGCACTGTCCACATCCACCACCAGGCCCAGGCCCGATGAGTTCGAGTCGTCCAGCAGGCAGCCGGTGGGTCCGGCGATGGCCGTGGAGCCCGTCGATGAGATGGAAGCCGCCGATCCAATGCTCGAGGAGCTGGTCACATCGAGACTGCCGACCGTGCTGCTGCCCTTGCCGGTGTCCGTGTCCGTGCCCGATCCCGAGCAGGATCCCGAGCTGGAGCTGGAGCTGCTCGAGCTGGAGCTGCTGCTGCTCGTGTTGCTCACGTCGATGTCCTCCAGCACCGATGAGTTCGAGGCATCGTCGCTGAGGACGGTCTTCAGGCTAGGAGGCCCCGGCGAACACGGATCGACCGTGTCCACCGCCAGGACTGGCTCCTCCAAGGTATTCATGATCCTGAGCTAAAATATTTAATAAGGAATGAGTTTGATAAAATATTTTGTTACATAATTAAGTAAATAACTATAGGTTTTAATGATAAAGCTGATATGTATAAAAAAATAAACGTTTTATAGACAAATTACACATTTCTTTTAATATAAACACAATTAATCAAGTAAAGATCACTGAAATGGGGTAAGTTGTTAAAGAATAAGTTCCTTCTCGAAAGTAGATCGTAAAGAATGTATTAAAATAAGTAGGAATGTATTATTATTTCATAATTAGGCAATTAACTATAGGTCTTAATAGCAATTATGTTAAAAACAATAAACGTAATGTGGATAAAATACAAGATAAATTAAATGGGGCAAGTACGATTACTTTAGACTATAAATTAGTTTTTAAAAACAAGTATCATAGTGTTAACAGAGATCCCTTAATTATCTGGTTAATCCTATTACTTTTGCCGTAAACTAACCTTTTTCTGACGCTTCCTGGGTTTATTAAGTGCTCGACTTGCGATTCAAATGCTTCCTATTATTGCCTGGGCTGTATTTCCGGTTTCCTATATATCCTGTTTTCAGTATCCAGCTTCCTTTGTCCTGCTTCCAGTATCCAGCTTCCTTTGTCTTGCTTCCAATATCCAGCTTTCCTTATCCTGCTTCCTATTTCCTGATCCTCCCCTGTTGGCTCCTAACTCCTAACTCCTGGCTCCTTCCTGTTCACTGCAGATCCTACTGCTGGTGCTCCCTAATGTCCTGCCGCTCTCCCAAGAGAGCCATTCCAATGGGGTTTCTCCTCTCGCGCGAAAAAGGTCCAACAACAGTTTGTTTCTCCGGGGGGAGGGGGTTGGAAAAAAAGAGATCCTGAGACGACGAACACACGCAAACACCTTTTCCTCCTCCTTTTCTCTCTCTCACTTAAAATGTATTGCAAATTTGTAAAAAATTTTGCGAGCCTCCAGTGACTTTGGGTTTATTTGCTTGTTTGTTTGGTGTTTTCGGTTCTTGATTCGCTGCTTGTCTTTTTATAATTTTTTTATTATTTTTTTGTTGTTATTTCTATATATATGTATACATTTTTGCCTTAGAGGTTTGCCGAATCGTTTTAAAGCATTTGGAAACTGCGTGTTGCGGTGATCCTGGTTTTTCTTGTTGTACGAGGACGAAATGAAATCAAGGACGAACGAGGCGACGACAACAAACACTGACGAAGAAGACGGCGACTTAAATTGGACGACAGCGCCGCTCCTTTGGAATTTGCAAAAGATTAGAAAACGTTGGTCCTTGGTTAATATAAAATTACACAATTTTGCAAAAAGAGCTAAGAAACGAAAAACACAGCGAAAAACTAACAAAACGAAATGAACAGAAAAAAAACCAAAAATAAAACTACAATTATTCTGTAATACAGAACAATAACAAAAGGTTCGAACGTAACTGACAAACTGAAAAATGAAAGTGAAGAATATATCGACTTGGCATTAAATCAAATGAGAAAATGTTTTTCTGTCCGGATTTCGCCACGCCCCAGCCCAACATCCTTTTTCCTCGCAACTAGGCCTCCAATACGAAATGCAACCCCCTTTTGACAACGCCTCTGGCTTATGCAACACCAAACACACACACTATCACACTTTGCTGCATACTTTCCGGATGAGGAAAACGGCATTTCCACCGCGTTTGCAATTTCCCGAGAAAATTGTTTCAGCGATGGTGCATTTTTGAAATATTAACCCATTTCCGATTTTCGACAAGAATTGTATTACCTTTGAAGAGCTGATTAAAATCTTACTAGCCTTTGCAGGGATTACAATAAGCTGTTTATGCTTCGTTTTTCGAGATAATAGAAGCAGTAACTTTAAAAATTGCATTTAAATATTCGAAAAATTCTCAAATGAATATATTATAGTTCACTATATTACGTTTTAGAATTAAAGATTTTTTTAATGTTTGTAAATTATTACTAATTATAAACTTTCCAACAGAAAATAGAATTTATTAGGGTTTTTTGGGTCTAAGCGCCACATGTAGTACATTGAAACAAAATGTTATATTCTAAAATTCATTATTCATGTTTGGATTTTGAAACCCAAAAATTAAAACCCTTGCAAACAGAGCCACACATTTTGGATCAAGTAGGCCGGATCACTGTCTTCAAATTGCATACACGAAAGTAACTAAGAAAACTGGGCAATCAGTCTGAGAAGTGTTTTGTTATGCTCTACTAAAGTTAATAACTTCTGTGGTAAGCGAATAAAGATTTCAGTATTGCCAACTGCTAAACCCCCACTTATGCATATTGGTTATCAGTTAGAGATCAGTATAGTCGGCAAAACCAGTCGCCACACGTGAACACTTTTTTAATCCTTAGATAGCGGGTATGTATGGTTCTGTATGTCATCTGTAGGTATCTTCATTTTGTACGGGGATAACTACTGATCTTTGATATTGATCTTTTAAATAATTAAATTATCGAAATGAATTAGTAAATGCAATTAAAAACCGCTATTCTCCGAAAGTAAAAGTATCTCAAATTACACTTAGAACTCCTAAAATATCAAGTATTTTTGCCCATGAGAATAATTCGTTTTGTTAGTTACATAGAAACATATGCATAATGTATCTTAGAAAGTAAAAGTATCTCAAAATGAATCTTTAACTTCAAAGTACAAGGCAATTTAGACAATAAGAATATTCCAATTGGATTCTAGGCCGGCAAGCATAAGCTAATTGGAGTATTTTTTGTTTTCTCTTTCTGAGAATTTCAAGTGCGTCCCGAATTTCGTGGAATTTTAATGTTGGGCTCTATGTGGTTTGGCCGAACATTGAATGCATGTGTGTATGTGTGTTGTATTTGTTTATCTGATCGCCCGTTTTCCAATTAATATTTATAGTAACCCGTTAAAAGGGGTTAGAGGGGGCGGAAGAGGGGAGGGGGAATCCAATTCCCGTTTGCGTCAAGTTTACGTTACGTTTTTCGCCGTTATGTGTAGCTATGCGCCTCGCACACACACACACACCCGCCGAGCTCTTCTTTGCTCCTTCTTCCTCCTTTTCGCTTCCCCATTCACGCAGGCGCGTCCTCAGTGCTGAGCTTTCTAGCTATATTTCCGCTAGTTGCGGCACAAAAAAAAGCTGCCCTCGCAAGGACAGCCGACAAAAGGGTAAAAAGTCCTTGAACAACTAATTCAATTGGGGGCAAGGCAATTGCCCAAATAAATGGGTTTAAGTGTAAATGCCAGTTTTGTCGGCGGAAGTATGCGGCAGATTTAAATCTAGTTTAGTTTCGTGCCCCCTCCACACCCATACACACTCACAGTGGCGCACACCCACATGGCAAATCAGCTGCACACAAACACACGCGTACAGCGAACACACGTGGTAAACGGAATCGGAATTTAGAACGACAGGGCTTTTTTCATTTTTGGTTCCGCTTTTTTGGATTATTATTATTATTTTGTGGTCCCCTATCGACTTGGTCGAATCTGCTTCGCAGCTGATTTTTTCCTGTCCATTTTCACGTACTTTTTGATTTATTTCACTTTAAATGTGTGCCGCTCTCTCGCTGGCTCGCGAACAGTTATTTTCGAGTCGAGTGCAGCGCTGGCTGGGCTGCGAGGGAGAGAAGGACAGAGAGAGCGAGAGAGAGATCGAAAATTATGAAGAAAAGTTCTCATTTTTGTTTGTATGGGTGTGCGCAAGCTCGCTCTAACGCGGCAAAAAAAAAATTATAAAAAAAAGAATACGAAAACGGCACCCCACACATACACGCGCAAGCAGGGCTAAAAAAAAAACATGTGAAATACGTTTTTATCCCCCTTTTCAAATTCGGGAATAAACACAGTTTTTGGTCAGTCGGCTTTGATTTGCAGTTGGGGGTGGGGTGGGGGTGTGAGTTAGACGGAAAGGGGGCTGTGGACGCCACTGGCGTTGTCCTTGAACGCAAAATTTCCACTTGACTACCGCCCAGGTGGTCGCGGTCAAGAGACATCCACACATGCACACCGCGACGCACTGCCGAACACTCACACGCACACACACTGCTAGGCAGACAGGAGGCGAAAAAGGTCCTTGAGATTGAGATGCCTGAACACTCGCTGTCTGTCCGGCTTGGCCAGCACTTAAGCAGAAACCATTAACCGAAAAACCAATGGGTTTGACGCTACCACTCGATTCGCCAATTGCCGTACTGGCGGTACCTTATATTTTAAGTGTAGTTTTCGTTTTCACACGTTTTTTCCTCCTCTCCTTTTTGCTCGTTACGTTACGATTTTATATTTGCTCGACACACAGATACGCACACACACACACACTCACATCCCCACACGCAGTTGTTACAGTTACTCGTACTTGCTGCCGCTATTCACTCTATCTGCGAAATCAACACTTTCGGGGCATACGAAACAACCAGCAGACCGCCAATTGGAGTCGAATTGGCTTTGGATTAAATTAATAATTACTTTTGCTCCCGTCGAACTTTTGTATGCAGTTGTTGGTGATGGCGATTTCCCGATCGTTTTCGTTGATGCTGTCGTTCGAATCGATTTGTTGCTATCGAGGTTTGCCCATCGCTAAAAATGCACCTATCGCGTCCAGCCGTTGCACCTACCATAGCAGAGATACCCACCACGTTAGCTAAAATATACCGAAAATACAAATATACCAAAATATGTTTTTGTGGTATTTTGCAAAAGATTTTTTACCTGGTCACTCTGGAAGTATTCAAGTTCATATAAATTAAGTCTGTTTTTTCCCCCAAAATTATAATGCTTAGATTATTTGATCGCATATAATCCAATATCTAGCTGTAAAATCTACAATTATTTCTTTACGATCCTAACTCCCATGAAAAGATGAGATCGTCACAAAATGCGCCTTAAAATCGGCGTAACATTTTAGGTATGCCCTTTTTGACTGATCTCTCTTTGTGTAAAAAGCGGGGAAAAGTTCATCCTGTTACTGGTTTCGGAGCACGGCACAACGAAAAAAAAATCGTAAATTTTTATGAGATTTAAAAAATTAAAAAATTGAGTTAAGTAAATTTGAAAAACGTAATATCTGCTGGCAGCTACAACAGCAGCAAACCTACTAGCGTTTGCTCGACAATCGATCATTGAAGAAAAAGGCATCAACGTCTATTCAGCACATCACATTTATACGAGATGTCATTTTAATATTACACATATTGCTTCCAAACTATTCGTCTTAAAAAATATGTTAACAACTTGGGAAAAGGCCAATAGGAGCAGCTCAGTATTTGGTGGGCCAAAAACCCAAACACAAAACTGGTTACAATAAATGGAAAATATCTCTTAGTCTATTTATAAAGAAAATAGCAAAGGTCGAAAAATGAATATCATAATATTTTTTTTTAAATACTCAAAATAATTAAAAGAATAAAAATAAATAAAAACTATTTTTTATATATGGGTGTTGGGCTAGGTGCAGTTAGCACCTTTTCCTTGCCGAGCCACGAAAGACAGTGAAATGGTTTATACCAAATGCAGGTTGTCCCTTATATGAGTCGCAGTCGTGCTAAAGATGGTGCTTTCAATTGTTGCAGGTGATAACGATAACAGAAGATATTCTATCGATAGGCTAGGACGATAGGGCGATAGACTTGGTGGCTCACTCATCAGGGAATCTGGCTGGTAATCTGAACATTCAAGTTAATCCCGGCCAATTCCATTTCCGGATTGCTTAAACGCCCTTGTTTTTGTCCAATGACCAAATTCTAGGAGAGGCGGAGAGAGGAATTATGGGGCAATATGAGCTTAATGGCAATCAAATTGCGGCGCTTGCCATTTTCAGCATAACAGATTGAAGATTTAATATTTGCTTTATTCCTAGAAATTAGTAATGGTAGTTGTAAAATTGAATATGTTGTTTTTAGTTGGGTATTTATTATAAACTATCTTTAGGAGGGTACCACATAAATAAAATGCTTTGTATAAATGAATAGGTGAAATTTTTAAAAATGATATATCTGAGGAAAACGACTACAACAACAGCAACAGAAACAACCGTTTGATCATTGATGGGAAAGGCATCAACTTTCATTAAACATAACGCATGAATACGATAATGCGCATGTGCACAAGTCCCATGTGGGCATATTGCTTCCAAACATCGAAGTCCTATTCGACTAAATAAAATGACAAAAACTTTGGAAACAGGCCAACAGGAACACCTCAGCCTGGGGCTGAATTTGGTGGGGCGGGTACCACAAAAAAAAGTTATTGAATCTTGCAATAATATTATATCTGATGGCAGCTACAAAAACAGCAGCACCAGTAGCAACCATTTTCTCGAAAATGGATCATTGAAGGAAAAAGCACCAACGTTCATTTAACAAAATGCACGAATTCGTGATTTTCATTTACGCAGTTATTCGAGGTGTCCGTTCAATGTTCCGCATCTATTTGACTTGTGCACAAAATGCTTCCAAACATCGATGTGCTATCGAACAAATAAAAAAATGTTTCCAATATAAGAAACAGCCAACAATTTCCAAAAATGTTATATCTGATGGCAGCGACACAAACAGCACTTAACAGAGGGTCAAAAACATAAGCACAAAACTGGTTTAAATAATTGAGATTATCTATGTATTCTTTATGATATTGCAAAACTGAAAACAATATGAAAAACAGCCGACAGAAACTGCATCAGCCTGCGGTCAGTTTTTTGAGGGCCGAATACCACAAAAATAAATGATTTACTAAAATTAGTAAGGGAAATTTTCAAATATGTTACAAAAACAGAAGCAGCAGTAGCAACCATTTGTTTAAAAATGGACCATTGAAGGGAACGGCGTCAACGTCCATTTCATATAAAGCCTGTACAGGTGCCCGTTCAATAGCACTCACGTGCCCCATGTGAACATATTGCTTCCAAACATCGAAGTGCTATTCAAACAAATTAAGGCAAGAGGCTCCAATTCCAAAAATCGAAGTGCTATTCGACTAAATAAAGTGTTAACAACTTTGGAAGGGAACGGTGTCAACGTCCATTTATTATATAGCCTGTACCGGTGCCCATTTAACAGTACTCACTTGCCCCATGTGAACATATTGCTTCCAAACATCGAAGTGCTATTCGAACAAAAAAAGACGGTAACAACTTAGGCAACAGGCCAACAGGAAAAGCTCAGCCTCTCTCTCTATTCGGAGGACCCAAATACAAAACTGGTTAAAATAAATGGAAATTATCTATTTAAAAATCGAAAAAGAAAACTAGTTAAAAGTTTGAGCTTATTAATCCCAAAAATAAATAAATAAAAATTATATTTATTTGAAGTATTGGACTAGTTGCGTTAAGAACCGTTTCCTTGCCGGCCACGAAAGACAGTGAAATGGCTAGTACCAGAGGCAGGTTGTCCTAGAGAGGAAACATCGATGTGCTATCGAACAAATAAAAATGTTTCCAATATAATGTTTCCTAAATAAATGCTTTCTATTGTGAATGTCTGAATGGGTTTTCAATTATGTCGTCGACGACAACGAAAAGACAAACGGACAGAATAAAAAATGAAGAAGCTAGTGAGACGGCCGAAGGGCCTGATACGAAAGAAAAGAAGCTTAAAAAATCTGATGATGAAAAGCTGATACATCCTGAAAAGACAGATGCAGCTTCGGATAAAATAGTAGACCCAAAAGGTCGAACAACCGAAGCAGCGTCTGCGATTGATACTAGACATGCTCCAAAAAGCTCGAATCCATCAGATTCAGCTAAGGCTGATGTTGATGATGCGAAATATATTGTCGCAAGCATCGACCAGCTCGTAAGCTCGTTTCAAATGATGGAATTCATACAGCTAGGAGCTCGAGAAATACATAGCACAGTAAACACTGATATATGGAGCCTTTTAGGCCATAAAGACGAGTTTACTCTAAAAGAAATTAAAACGCTTCCACAGTACTACGTGACTTGGGAGGACGTGCCTAATAGAAAAGTTTATATATGTCGAAATCCCGAGCACTTCGTGAACTTTACGAAAATCTCGGAATACTACACAAGAATGCTTGAAATACAACTTAAAAGATTTGAAAGTGCCTTAATTATTTTAAGAGAACCACCGTCATTGGTGATATTGAATGAACGCGTGAGTGATCCAATTGCCCTCGGCTATCCTATGGAAAAGCTGTCGGCCAATGGCGTAATGGATGATACCATCCTTGCGATTATCGAACGCGCGTGCAAACCTGAGAATAGAGACCATAAGTATGTTGAGCTCCGATGCCTAGGCGACCCGGGCGCAATCGAAGTTAATTATAATCTAATAAATTATTCGATGAATAAGAAACAGCAAACAATTTCGAACAAACAGCACTTAACAGAGGGTCAAAAACACAAGCACAAAACTGGTCTAAATAATTGGGATTATCTATGTATTCTTTATGATAATGCAAACATGAATACAATATGAAAAACAGCAGACAGAAACTGCATCAGCCTGCGGTCAGTTTTTTTGAGGGCCGAATACCACAAAAATAAATGATTTACTAAAATTAGT